TAAGACACACTGACAGATGTCACTAACATATCAGGTTGTAGACCATATAAGACACACTGACAGATGTCACTAACATATCAGGTTGTAGTCCATATAAGACACACTGACAGATGTCACTAACATATCAGGTTGTAGTCCATATAAGACACACTGACAGATGTCACTAACATATCAGGTTGTAGTCCATATAAGACACACTGACAGATGTCACTAACATATCAGGTTGTAGACCATATAAGACACACTGACAGATGTCACTAACATATCAGGTTGTAGTCCATATAAGACACACTGACAGATGTCACTAACATATCAGGTTGTAGTCCATATAAGACACACTGACAGATGTCACTAACATATCAGGTTGTAGTCCATATAAGACACACTGACAGATGTCACTAACATATCAGGTTGTAGACCATATAAGACACACTGACAGATGTCACTAACATATCAGGTTGTAGTCCATATAAGACACACTGACAGATGTCACTAACATATCAGGTTGTAGTCCATATAAGACACACTGACAGACGTCACTAACATATCAGGTTGTAGTCCATTTAAGACACACTGACAGATGTCACTAACATATCAGGTTGTAGTCCATTTAAGACACACTGACAGACGTCACTAACATATCAGGTTGTAGTCCATATAAGACACACTGACAGATGTCACTAACATATCAGGTTGTAGTCCATTTAAGACACACTGACAGACGTCACTAACATATCAGGTTGTAGTCCTTGTAAGACACATCAACACAGCTTGCTAACACATCCTGTTGTGGTCAATATCAGACATAGTGACACACTTCTTCACTAATACGACACAACAGGCCACAGCCATCAAGTAAATCACAACCATATATATAATACGCCCGGAAACAGGCTGCCCTTTCACCTAAACGATAGACAAAGAATCATATAAAATAACATTGGCGCTTATGGATGCTATGCTCTGCTCACTTTCATCCATGTGGCAATGATAAACTTCCAGTTTCAAAGATGTCATCAAACAGGCAACAACCATGTGGCAATGACAAACTTCCAGTTTCAAAGATCTCATCAAACAAGCAACAACCATGTGTGGATTCCAGTGGGTCCCATTTAGGGGAGGGGTAGATCCACTGCCCCCCCCCCCCCCCCAAGAGCGTATCATAAAAAGTGACTGGATGAGTTGAGCAGAACAGTTTAGATATAAACCAAAACACATCTTTTAAGGTGGAACACAGGAAAAGGAGAATAAACTGTGCTCCTCACTCTCCCCCCCCCCCCCCCCCCCCCCCAAATAATTCTCATAGAATGTCAAAAATGGATGGCTGTGGCGTACAGGAAAGCGCTTGCCAAATACCACAAGCAGTGTGATGACAGAAGAAGACAAACCTGAAGCAACTGATGGAACTGGAAGTCATTGGAACTGCTGAAACACAAACAACTCAATGACTAACTTACCATCTCAATGACTAACTCACCATCTCAGTGACCAACTCACCATCTCAATGACCAACTCACCATCTCAATGACCAACTCACCATCTCAATGACCAACTCACCATCTCAATTACCAACTCACCATCTCAATGACCAACTCACCATCTCAATGACGAACTCAATAATCAACTCAACATCTCAATAACCAACTCAATAACCAACTCAAAATCTCAATGACCAACTCACCATCTCAATGACCAACTCAATAACCAACTCATCTCAATGACCAACTCACCATCTCAATGACCAACTCAACATCTCAATGACCAACTCACCATCTCAATGACCAACTCACCATCTCAATGACTAACTCGTGGTTTCTTTGTGTCATTTTGTCCCTCATGCTCTCAGAACAGTGAGTTCCAGCCATGTAGGATAGAACCGGGTACAATGAAGTTTAACAGCTTAAAACCTTTGAAGTTCTTGATTGCAACATCTCACACAATCATAATCCCTTTACATTACATCAAAGTACTTCAGTTAAGGACATTTCTTTCTACCACACACATACATATGTAACAACAATAACAAATAATAATATTAATAATCATGAATTCTGTGTTCATTGGCTCACAAGTGGCAGAGATAACGAGGACATCAATGAACACAATAAATATTTGCAATTTAAAAACAGAACCATTGAGAATGTTCTTTGTGTGTGAATGATTGTTGTCGTCGCCATGACTAGGTACAAAAAGTATACATCTTCTCTAGTCTCATGGAATAACTCAACGGCAAATGTACAAATATATATCATCATACAAAAATAGATGTCAATGCATACCTTGTCAACAAAACCACATATAAATTGGGAACTGAGAGCACATAGCAAGATTTGAACAGTTCACAAACTGAGATTTGAAACTATACCAGTAATTACTGTCTATAACTGTGGCAGCCTGGAATAAATAACATTAGACATAGATAAATTGTTCTCCTTTTAAGTCTCAAGCAACATTTCACCTGTCACTGGCCATTTCCTGTGTCCCAAACATGTGAATTGTTACACTTAGCCAGCATCAACTACAGATACTGCTGCTCTAGCAGCAGCTTCCTTGTCTGCAGCAGCACAGGAATACACTGCAGTGTTTGTGGCATTATTTCATTCAACAAATCAGTGAATGGGAATAGACCACAAGACCAAGGAGTAGATGGAGAGAATATCATTGCAGACCTACAAACACTTGGAGTCGCCAACCAAATGGAAGGGAAAAGCCAGTCACAGAGATGAATGTTGGTGGATGATTTTTGCAGCAATAAACCTTAAAGGCCCAAAATGTTGGAGAAGGAGGAGGATTACATGAAAGTGAAACCTCCAAATGCTAGAGAAGAAGGAAGATTTCATGAATCATGAAAGTGAAACCTCCAAATGCTGGAGAAGAAGGAAGATTTCATGAAACATGAAAGTGAAACCTCCAAATGCTGGAGAAGGAGGAGGATTTCATGAAACATGAAAGTTAAACCTCCAAATGCTGGAGAGGAAGGAGGATTACATGAAAGTGAAACCTCCAAATGCTGGAGAAGAAGGAGGATTTAATGATACATGAAAGTGAAACCTCCAAATGCTGGAGAAGGATTTCATGAAACATGAAAGTGAAACCTTCAAATGCTGGAGAAAGAGGATTTCATGAAAGTGAAACCCCCAAATTGTGGAAGAGTCAAATAATACTGGTAATGACACTGGGAAATGGATTAAATTTTTGTTGTTTTTGCGTCACTTACTCTGAGATTACAAAAGAGTCAAGAGAACTTACGGCCATACAATGAAGATGGATGTTAAGACTGCCACACTCTGCAAATAAATGTACAGCCCAGTTTTGAAAACAAGAAGAGGGGTGAGAAAGAAAAGGTTGCACAGCCCTGAGGCAGTGAGGAAAACTGCAAAATAGACTACATATTCTGACACCATACAGCCTGGGTGTTTGGGGAGACAGGTGGGTCACACAAGCCGTGATGTGGGAAAATGGGTGAATCACAAAAGCCTTAATGTGTGGAGAGTGGGGCAATGGGTCAGAATTCCCAGATATCAGGACAGTCTTGATGTGTGGAGAGTGGGGCAATGGGTCAGAATTCCCAGATATGAGGACAGTCTTGATGTCCAAGTGTGGGTTCTACAGTCCACATTTAGGGACAGCCCTGTAGCCCAGACGTGGGGTGAGGGTCAGCTCATACACCCTAGATGTGGATCCAGCCACACAGCCCACATGTGGGAAGGGTAGCAGATCATGCAACTTCATGTATGGCCAGCCACACAGCCCACGTGTGGGAATGGTAGCAGATCAAGCAACTTCATGTATGGCCAGCCGCACAGCCCACGTGTGGGAATGGTAGCAGATCAAGCAACTTCATGTATGGCCAGCCACACAGCCCACGTGTGGGAAGGGTAGCAGATCATGCAATTTCATGTATGGCCAGCCACACAGCCCACGTGTGGGAAGGGTAGCAGATCATGCAACTTCATGTATGGCCAGCCACACAGCCCACGTGTGGGAAGGGTACCAGATCAAGCAACTTCATGTATGGCCAGCCACACAGCCCACGTGTGGGAAGGGTACCAGATCAAGCAACTTCATGTATGGCCAGCCACATAGCCCACATGTGGGAAGTTTAGCAGATCAAGCAACTTCATGTATGGCCAGCCACATAGCCCACGTGTGGAAAGGGAGGCAGATCAAGCATCTTTATGTATGGCCAGCCACACAGCCCACGTGTGGGAAGGGTAGCAGATCAAGCAACTTCATGTATGGCCAGCCACATAGCCCACATACAAGACTTTTCTGTCACCAGTGTAGACAACTAGTTCTACAGCAATGATCTTTACAACATGAGTTTCCCCAACAGAGCTGAACCACTGACAGCCTTCCAGATTTATGTTTTACCATCATACAATAAAAACAAATCCACTGGCAAAAAATTAAAGCACCAAAAAAAAAAACAACTAAAGATGTGATTAACAGATTCTTACACCAATCTAAATCTACATAAAAAAGAAAATATGCACATTATAATCTAACCAACAACACGTACATAATTACATACATATAGAAACATAATAAACAAACATAACACCCACATATGTGTATGTCTCTTTCAGTGCTTGTGTGATTATTCAACAGTCTTTCATACAAGAACCACATAGAAAGTACCACGTATAAATGTTGATAGTAGGTGCACAAATGACCTCTCTATGTTTCAGAACCTACAAAGGTAAACAAGAACTCACACAAAATTGCCAGATTTTCCCAACATTCCATCTGTGGTGTGCGCCAGGCTGGACATCAAACAGTTGCCATATTCACATTCAAATACGGAGGTGGTAGGTTTTCTTGGACACGTAAGAAAACAACATGGTAAAATAGTTTTAGGTGTGACGAGAGTAAAAGAGTCAGAACACTAATCCATGTAGTGTTTCCATGACCATTAAGGCAGTGAGACAGAGCACTCAGTGCTGAGTCTGTGTTGGGTGTAGATTATGACGACACACGTGACGAGGATTTCTACACTATCACCAGGCATCGGTGTAGCGGACGTCACATTCTTGAAGGGCTGGTAATTTCTCCTGTAACATAAATGACAACATTACAATTCTTTGTATACAAATGATAAAGTATAGTCTGCTATTGTTCATTTACAAAGTGGTGCCGATGTGAAAAAAATAATTGTATCTCACCTGTAGTGGAATATAAATGGATGAAATTATATTAATATTTACTTCATTCTTAACATTATGTCAGCCTGCCGCCCCCAAACAAGTAATTATAATGACTTTTTCTTTTCTTATTCAAGGTATATAAATATATGCTGATCCTTGCTGGATTGCTTTTTAAGAGTTATACAGTGTAAAGTTTAACCAATCAATCTTTCATAAAAACAGTTTTTGTTTTTCTGTTTTACCTAAATTCTCATGAAGACCACAACCACTACACTGAAAGTCTGGCTACACTGAAAGTCTGGCTACACTGAAAGTCTGGCTACACTGAAAGTCTGGCTACACTGAAAGTCTGGCTACACTGAAAGTCTGGCTACACTGAAAGTCTGGCTACACTGAAAGTCTGGCTACACTGAAAGTCTGGCTACACTGAAAGTCTGGCTACACTGAAAGTCTGGCTACACTGAAAGTCTGGCTACACTGAAAGTCTGGCTACACTGAAAGTCTGGCTACACTGAAAGTCTGGCTACACTGAAAGTCTGGCTACACTGAAAGTCTGGCTACAAGCTATTAAATGGTGTGCTGAATAGTTTCCTAGTTTGTGACAAGTTTCACATTGTAACTAATGTGGTTAGAGTTAGGGTCATTCATGTTGGTACTGTCAAATTTTGTTGCGTTATCTAACTAAAATTAAACAAGTGATGAAAATAACAAAGAAAACATTTGTTCAACTAGGTAGTCTAAATATTATTTATGTATAAAACATTTGACATCGAGATGGAAATAGGAACCCACGAGAAAAATCACTGACCCAGAATAAGAAACTACTGAGAGATTATTGAAAATACAGCGGCTTTAATTTCTATTGTAAATTCATATTCTGGTATATTGTGGATTCTAGTTATAATCTATATACAGTAGAGCATGCTGATTCAATGACACCCGTTATTTCTAAACTAAATATTACATACAGACTGCTAACTTTACAACATCCATTATTTCTAAACTATACATTACATACAGAGTGTTGACTCAATGACATCTATTAGTTCTAAACTATACTATACATGTGCTTGTCTAGCTAAGCTAGACTGTGACTCCTGTAGACAGACCACATGACCTACCTTCAAGCCCTCAAACGTCAGTGCAGACAGGTTGGTACTGTTCAAGTTGAGTTTACGCAGGCTCTTCATGGCTGTGGGAAACAAAGTAGACATATCACACAATTGTATTTTTACACATTTATTTTCTGAGCAAGAAGAACAGACAGAAAAATAATGACAGAGAGAAAAATAAAGAGACCAACATACAGAAAACCAAAAGGATGAATCAGCAATGAAGACAATGAATAATAAAATGAACACAGAGAAAATATTGAACAAAGGGGGTGGGGATGATTAACGACACACACATGCACGTACACACACACGCACACATTCAAATAGCCACACACTCATTTGCATACACACACATAAAGAAAAGGAAGGAAGGGAAACATGCAGCAAAGACAAACCACATAATGAAGTGAGAAAACCAAAAATAGAGAGAATGAGTCTGTAGACACATCTAGCAAGGAATACAACTAAATGTTCTTTTAACCATGAATGTCAGAATGACATCAAAGGCACCCGTTTTTAACCCAGAATCTGAAATGACAATAGTTTTTTTATAGATTCTTTTAACAGAACATGACTCGCTGACAAATTAAAAAAAAACAAAAAAAACATAGGCAATTCAGTAATACTGAAATAAATTGTGAGGAATCATAATAAACACACAGACAAGCAAATGTACGAAGGAAAATAAAATGTCCACAATATAAAACAGACGAACAGAAAAAGCCAACACATCTCCAAATACCAACCAACAAACACACATTTTTTTCTTCTTATCGTTTACTGGTTGTAAAGTCTGGCGGAAAGCTCTGGTTGTTCATCCACTTCTGGACTTCGGTCTTGATCCAGAACTTGAGCATTGCAAGCACATCCATTTTACATATCTGGCTTATTTGTATGCAGACTGTTGGTTCCTTAGATGTGGGCAGATGGACCTCAGACTTTAGAGGAAACATCCCTAATTATTCGCCTCCCACAATACGTCTGGGGGTGGGGGGTATTGGGGAGAGGGGGGAATGAGTCTATTATTTGTTCACCAAAACATTCAGGGTGACTAATTAGGGGAGTTTCCTTTGAAGTGAGAATGCATTTTCCTAAGAGGTAGGGAACCAACAGTCTGCATACAAATAAGCCCCGTCTGTACAACAACAATGCATGCAAAACTCAGGTTCTGGAACAAGACCACAAGTGGACAACAAGCAGATTTTCCCTGAACCCACACAGGGGACACACATATCAACATACAAACTATTCAACCACATATCAACATACAAACTATTCAACCACATATCAACATACAAACTATTCAACCACATATCAACATACAAACTATTCAACCACATAACAACATACAAACAATTTAACCACACATCAAAAAACAAAAAAATTCAACCACATAAAAAAACATACAAACAAAAACAAAACCAAAAAAAATCAACATAAAAAACAATTTAAAAACAAAATCAACATACAAAAATTCAATAAAAAAAAAAACATACAAAAATTTAACCACATATCAACATACAAACTAAAAAAAACCACATAACAACATACAAAAAAATTTAACCAATATCAACATAAAAAAACTATTCAAAAAACAAAAAAACAAAAAAAAACAAAAACCAAATAAAACATACAAAACTAAAAAAAAAAAATAACAACATACAAAAAATTTAACCAAAATATCAACATAATAAAACTATTTAACCACATAACAACATAAAAAAAAAAAAAACCACAAAACAACATACAAAAAAAAAAAAAAAAAAAACAAAATAAAAAAAACAAAACAAAAAACAAATCAACAAACAAACTAAAAAACCACAAATCAAAATACTAAAAATAAAAACACATAACAAAAAAAAAAACAAACTATTCAACAACATAAAAACAACAAAAAAAAAAAAAACAAAAAAAACAAAAAAAAAATTTAACCACATATCAAAATAAAAAACTAAAAAACCACATAAAAAAAAAAAACTAAACTAAAAAACCACATAACAAAATAAAAAAAAAAAAAAAACACAAAAAAAACATAAAAAAAAAAAAAACCAAAAAAAAAACAAAACAAAAAACTATTTAAATAAAAAAAAAAAAAAAAAAAAAAAATTCAACCACAAAAAAAAAAAATAAAAACTAAAAAAAAAAATACAAAAAAACAAAAAAAAACTATTCAACCACAAAATAAAACATAAAAAAACTATTCAACCACATAAAAACACAAAAAAAAATTAAAAAACACATCAACAAACAAACTATTCAACCACATAAAAACAAACAAAAAATAAAAAACAACAAATCAACAAAAAAACTATTCAAAAAACAAAACAAAATACAAAACTATTTAAACAAAAAATCAACAAAAAAAAAATAACACAAACAAAACAACAAACAAACAAAAAAAACAAAAATCAAAAAACAAAAACAAACAAAAACACATAACAAACAAAAAAAAAAAAAACCACACATACAACATACAAAAACAAAAAAAAACAAACAACAAAAAAAAAAAAAAAAACCAAAACATCAACCAACAAAAAAAAAAACACAAAACAAAAAACATACAAACTAAACAAAAAAACATAAAAACAAACAAAACAAACAAAAAAAAAACAAACATACAAAACAAAAAAAACACAAAAAAAAAAACATAAAAAAAAAAAAAAAAAAAACAAAAAAAACAAAAAAAAAATTCAACCACATAACAACAAACAAACTAAAAAAAAAACAATAAAACAAAAAAAAAAAAAAAAAAAACAAAAAAAAAAACAAAAAAAAAAAAAAAAAAAAATAAAACAAAAAAAAAAACCAAATATCAAAAAATACAAAAAAAACAAACAAAAAACAACAAAAAAAAAAAAAAAACCACATAACAACAAAACAAAAAAAAAAAAAAAAAACACACACAACAAAAAAACACAAACAAAAAAAAACCAAAAACAAAAAAAAAACAATTCAACACAAAAAACAACAAAAAAAAAAAAAAAAAAAAAACAACAAACAAACTTTTCAAAAACAAAACAACAAAAAAAAAATTCAAAACCACAAAAAAAAAACAAAAAAAACAAAAAAAACACATAACAACAAACAAAAAAAAAAAAAACAAAACAAACAAAAACAAAAAAAAAAAAAAAAAACACATAACAACAAAAAAAAAAAAAAAACAAAAATAACAAAAAAAAAAAAAAAAAAAAAAACCACACAAAAACAAAAAAAAAAAAAAACCAAAAATCAACATAAAAAAACTATTCAAAAAAAAAAAACATAAAAACAAAAAACCACAAAAATCAAAAACACAAAAAAAAAAAAAAAAACAAAAAAAAAAAAAAAAAAAAAAATTCAAAAAAAAACAAAAAAAAAAAAAAAAAAAAAAAACAAAAAAAAACAACAAAAAAACAAACCAAATAACAACAAAAACAAACAAAAAAAACACATAAAAACAAAAAAAAACAAAAAACCAAAAAACAACAAACACAAAATTCAAATACATAACAACATACAAACAATTCAACCACATATCAAAACAAAAAACAAACAAATACTAAATTCAACCAAAAAAAAAATACAAACTATTCAACCACATAACAACAAACAAAACTAAACAAAAACAACAAAAAAAAAATAAAACTAAACAAACCACATATCAACATACAAACTATTCAACACATAACAAAACAAAAAAATACAAACTAAACAAACACATATTCACAACAAACAAAAACAAAACAAAAACACACACAAAACATACAAACTATTCAACCACATATCAACATACAAACAAAAAAAACCACAAAATCAACATACAAAAAATTCAACCACATAACAACATACAAACTATTTAACCACAAATCAACATACAAACTAAAAAACAACAAAAACATACAAAACTATTCAAACAAACAAAAACAAACAATTTAACCACATATCAACATACAAACTATTCAACCACATAACAACATACAAACAATTTAACCACATATCAACATACAAACTATTCAACCACATAACAACATACAAACAATTTAACCACATATCAACATACAAACTATTTAACCACATAACAACATACTAACTATTCAACCACATAACAACATACAAACTATTCAACCACATAACAACATACAAACAATTTAACCACATATCAACATACAAACTATTTAACCACATATCAACATACTAACTATTCAACCACATATCAACATACAAACTATTCAACCACATAACAACATACAAACAATTTAACCACATATCAACATACAAACTATTCAACCACAGAACAATATACAAACAATTTAACCACATATCAACATACAAACTATTTAACCACATATCAACATACTAACTATTCAACCACATAACAACATACAAACTATTCAACCACATAACAACATACAAACAATTTAACCACATATCAACATACAAACTATTCAACCACAGAACAACATACAAACAATTTAACCACATATCAACATACAAACTTTTCAACCCCATAACAACATGCAAACAATTTAACCACATATCAACACACAAACTATTCAACCACATAACAACATACAAACAATTTAACCACATATCAACATACAAACTATTCAACCACATAACAACATACAAACAATTTAACCACATATCAACATACAAACTATTCAACCACATAACAACATACAAACAATTTAACCACATATCAACATACAAACTATTCAACCACATAACAACATACAAACAATTTAACCACACATCAACATACAAACTATTCAACCACATAACAACATACAAACAATTTAACCACATATCAACATACAAACTATTCAACCACATAACATACAAACAATTCAACCACATAACAACATACAAACTATTCAACCACATACCAACATACAAACAATTTAACCACATATCAACATACAAACAATTCAGCCACATATCAACATACAAACAATTCAACCACACATCAACATACAAACAATTCAACCACATACAAACAATTTAACCGCACACCAACATACAAACAATTTAACCGCACACCAACATACAAACAATTCAACAGCACACCAACATACAAACAATTTAACCACACACCAATATACAAACAATTCAACCACATATCTACATACAAACAATTCAACCACATACCAACATACAATTCAAATATATACCAACATACAAACAATTTAACCCCAAACCAACATATAATACAACCATATACCAACATACAAACAATTCGACCATATACCAACATACAAAAATTCAACTATATACCAACATACAAACAATTTAACCCCAAACCAACATACAATACAACCATATACCAACATACAAACAATTCGACCATATACCAACATACAAAAATTCAACCATATACCAATATACAAACAAGTCAACCATATACCAACATACAAACAAGTCAACCATATACCAATATACAAACAAGTCAACCATATACCAATATGCAAACAAGTCAAGCATATCCCAACATACAAACAAGTCAACCATATACCAACATACAAACAAGTCAACCATATACCAATATACAAACAAGTCAACCATATACCAATATGCAAACAAGTCAACCATATACCAATATACAAACAAGTCAACCATATACCAACATACAAACAAGTCAACCATATACCAACATACAAACAATTCAACCATATACCAACATACAAACAATTCAACCATATACCAATATACAAACAATTCAACCATATACCAACATACAAACAAGTCAACAATATACCAACATACAAACAAGTCAACCATATACCAACATACAAACAAGTCAATCATATACCAATATACAAACAAGTCAACCATATACCAATATACAAACAAGTCAACCATATACCAACATACAAACAAGTCAACCAAATACCAACATACAAACAAGTCAACCATATACCAATATACAAACAAGTCAACCATATACCAACATACAAACAAGTCAACCCAAAGCAACTCACCAGCAAGGCATGACAATCCCTTGTCTGTGACCGGCGTCTCACACAAGTTCAGAACCTGCAACTTTTGCAGATGCTCAGAGATGATCTGTAAGCCCTGATCCCCAAACTGTCAGAGTAGGAATGACAACAAAATGACACACTTGATGAGAAGCTGTCACTCAGATGACACCGACAAAGACAAGCTACAATATATGTTGAGCTACATCTACCTAGACCAAACAATCGCAGAAGCTGTCAAGTGAGGCATGGAAATCCAGACACTTTTTTCTTGTTCTTTGTTTCTGCTGTGCTACGGTTTGCAGCTTAGCTGCGATATCATGGGTGTCTTTCAGCCCAACACATATGATTTCAACAAATCCTTAACCAGCTGCCTTTCATTTAATGCTAGACGAAAGGCAGTGGACTTACTCTGTTGTTTCCTCCAAAATGAGGCTCCAGAATCCACACAGGGAGTCAACAAAATGTTGTGCGTTATCTCTCACAAACAATGAACAAGAAGAATCATATGTTCTGATATAAACAATAACTTGAGCTAACAAATATCCTACACAATCTCAACATTGAGGAGTTTTGGCTCATAAACAGCATCCTAGCCTAACGCTGAGGTATCTCGGCAATGTCAAACACCACGGTAGTCTGGACACAATTATAATGGAGCATACAATTTCCAGAAAGTGAAGCAGAGGCAGACCTCCGTGAAGGTGGACACAAGGCACAGAAGATGCACTGGCTATGAAAGCACACAGGGCTGGAGAATTGGCTAGAGACAGAGAGACTTTCAGGGATGCCATGATGAAAGCGAAGGATGTTGTGACTGATGATGAGTGCTCACAGTCTGAAGGTGAAAGTTGCCCTATGACTTGATACTGCTGTCGGAGAGATTCACATATACTAGATACAAACTTCACGAGACTGAGGGACCAGCTTCTTTTCTCATGTCAGTTCATACCAGACAATTCACAGAAAGATCTTAAACATAGCCATTTTTACAGATCTACATATGTGAATCACCAGACACAAGTCAAACATGAGTTAATGAGCTCACCAGTATAGAGGGCTGAGGTTCAATTCCCAACTGCCCGAGAGTTATTATAATCAGAACTGCATATGATTAAACTACTGAGAACAGTGACTGCTAGCCATTACCTCTGTGACAATGTGAGGTTCACAATGGGGTTTCAGTGTAGGGGTTCAGTGTGGGGTTCATGTGATTTGTGTCTTTTCTTAAGGAAGCAATGTTACTAACTCTTTAAGTACTGAATAAGGTTATCAAGCCTGGCAGGGATTTGCTCATGTGTACAAGCCAACATGTTATCTAGCAGGATATTAGTCATGTGGACAAGCCAACATGTTATCTAGCAGGATATTAGTCATGTGGACAAGCCAACATGTTATCTAGCAGGATATTAGTCATGTGGACAAGCCAACATGTTATCTAGCAGGATATTAGTCATGTGGACAAATCAACATGTTATCTAGCAGGATATTAGTCATGTGGACAAATCAACATGTTATCTAGCAGGATATTAGTCATGTGGACAAATCAACATGTTATCTAGCAGGATATTAGTCATGTGGACAAGCCAACATGTTATCTAGCAGGATATTAGTCATGTGGACAAATCAACATGTTATCTAGCAGGATATTAGTCATGTGGACAAATCAACATGTTATCTAGCAGGATATTAGTCATGTGGACAAATCAACATGTTATCTAGCAGGATATTAGTCATGTGGACAAATCAACATGTTATCTAGCAGGATATTAGTCATGTGGACAAATCAACATGTTATCTAGCAGGATATTAGTCATGTGGACAAATCAACATGTTATCTAGCAGGATATTAGTCATGTGTACAAATCAACATGTTATCTAGCAGGATATTAGTCATGTGTACAAATCAACATGTTATCTAGCAGGATATTAGTCATGTGTACAAATCAACATGTTATCTAGCAGGATATTAGTCATGTGTACAAGCCAACATGTTATCTAGCAGGATATTAGTCATGTGGACAAGCCAACATGTTATCTAGCAGGAAATAACTCATGTGTATAAGCCAACATGTTGTCTAGCAGGAAATAACTCATGTGTATAAGCCAACATGTTATCTAGCAGGAAATAACTCATGCGTACAAGTCGACAAATTATCTAGCAGGAAAAAACTTATGTGTACAAACCAACATATTATCTAGCAGGAAATAATTAATGTGTACAAACCAACATGTTATCTATATCTATACATCTGGCATTTAGTCAGGGTATACTGAAGCACTTCAACTACACACCTGTGTCCTACAAGAGATGTGTATTTTGCTTCCGTGGATGTAGCACACCTATGACTGTACTCACTCCGATATCAGCTATAACTTTCTAGGGCTAAAGTACTTAATGGCTGGACACCTCACCTGTGTGGACCAGAGGTTCAGGTAACGCAGTGACGGTAACTTGATCAAATCATCGGCACAAGCACTTGTCACCTGGGTGAAGGCCAGGCTCAGGCACTCAAGGTTACCAAACGACCCTGAACTCAACATTCGGGTCAGGTCAACATCGGTGGACTTGCTAGGTAAGGTCAGTTTCTTGGGTCCGCCCTTCTGTTGCTGCCAGGGACAATAGAAAACAGCCAATTTAGAACTGCTGTAAGAATACATTTAACAAACGGTAAAACATCATCATGTAGCAGGTTCTTTGCAGAGTGTCGTTCTCATCAGTCTGACTGAAAGAAACTTGGTCTCTTGCCAACTCTCTCACCGGGTGAAATTTTCTACCCACGGTGTCACTTGTATCCTGTGTCCATCTTTCTGCTGGTCAGCTCCTGCCCCTCTTTCCTGGTACCATGATGATAGGACATCTGCCACATACAGCTAGGACATCTGCTACATACAGCTAGGACATCTGCTACATACAGCTAGGACATCTGCCACATACAGCTAGGACATCTGCCATATACAGCTAGGACATCTGCCACATACAGCTAGGACATCTGCTACAGACAGCTAGGACATCTGCCACATACAGCTAGGACATCTGCCACATACAGCTAGGACATCTGCCACATACAGCTAGGACATCTGCCACATACAGCTAGAACATCTGACATATACAGCTAGGACATCTGCCACATACAGCTAGGACATCTGCCACATACAGCTAGGATTACTGCAACACAATACATTGTTGTCTACAAGATTTACATTGGTTTCTTTAGACACATTATTTCTTGTCTTCATTGTATCTAGAATGCATAAATTCTTGCCCCTTGTCTGACTGAAAAAACAAGAAGAAGAAGTCCAAACATACGTGAATGAAACACTGAGGGTCTATTGTAAGGCCAAATGTCCTAAAAATTTGTCAGCTCAGGGCAGATGAGGTCTTTGTTGTCTGGCTCAAGGTGGGTGATGTCCTAACATACATTTGCCTATTACAAGATAGAGCAGGTGAGAGATAAAGAGTCTTTATATCTGTGTGCCAAAGCTAGATGTGCTGCCTTGGCTGTGGGGTATCCCTGTTTGTTTAAAGTACTCTTCATGTACATTCCCTACATCTCAGTCTTCCTCCAACTCTGTAAACAGATCTTCCTTTGACTGTATGCTCCTGATGAAGTTTTCACTCTCACAACTCCAGACCACTTGATTTTGCACCAAGGCAAACTCGAGAGCATATCCTAATGCAGTGTCAATAATTTGTCTGACAGAAGAGAAACTGGCAGCCAGAAGCAATCCTGTCAGATAAACAGTGGGAGGCAGGTGAAAACCTCAAGCACACAGTTCTGCTCACAACTCTTGCTAACACATTAAAAATAAAAAGGTAAAAAAAACAACCAAAAACAGGTCAAAGGGAGCCTTTGTACCTTCTACCCAGTGGAGCATGCATCAGGCATCAGATGCTAGACTGTGTAATATGCCAGTCAGCCCTAGATGGGTGCTGCGGCCAACATCAAGGAAGCTACCTTGACTGCCCAGGGCCACGACCGGTACATAATTTAGACTAGGTCGACCTGGGCATGCTAGAGTTGACAAAGGCAAACAATGCTGTGCTGAAGAAGTTGTGACAGTACATAATGACAAGATCTAGTCAGATACGACTTACAATTTCTTTAATGGCGATCTGGCGCTCACACAACTGTGCATACATGCGCTTGCCGTCACAGGTGGACTGTAAAGTTGTAATCATCTGCATCTTCATGTCATGGCTGTCTACAACTTCCAGTTCTAACATGGCACACAATACCTGTCGGCAACAATCATCACAACAATCAGGCTACAAATAATGACACCATGCATCAACTGTTAAAGCAAAGATGAAAATGATGTCAGTATAAATTATGATGTGTTATATATGATGAAACAAGGAAACTGGTTAAAAAATCATGACTGCCTTGGAGGACTATGACATGCAAGAAATGAACTGATCAATGAATGATAGGCTGTTACAGATAGGAGCGGTCCAGATGTATGTCAACCCTTTCACCCAGAGAAGATACAAAAACTAGCACTATGAGCTGTTACAGATAGGAGCGGTCCAGATGTGTGTCAACCCTTTCACCCAGAGAAGATACAAAAACTAGCACTATGAGCTGTTACAGATAGGAGCGGTCCAGATGTGTGTCAACCCTTTCACCCAGAGAAGGTACAAAAACTAGCACTATGAGCTGTTACAGATAGGAGCGGTCCAGATTTGTCAACCCTTTCACCCAGAGAAGGTACAAAAACTAGCACTATGAGCTGTTACAGATAGGAGCGGTCCAGATGTGTGTCAACCCTTTCACCCAGAGAAGATACAAAAACTAGCACTATGAGTTGTTACAGATATGAGCGGTCCAGATGTGTGTCAACCCTTTCACCCAGAGAAGATACAAACACTAGCACTATGAGCTGTTACAGATATGAGCGGTCCAGATGTGTGTCAACCCTTTCACCCAGAGAAGGTACAAAAACTAGCACTATGAGCTGTTACAGATAGGAGCGGTCCAGATGTGTGTCAACCCTTTCACCCAGAGAAGGTACAAAAACTAGCACTATGAGCTGTTACAGATAGGAGCGGTCCAGATGTGTCAACCCTTTCACCCAGAGAAGGTACAAAAACTAGCACTATGAGTTGTTACAGATGGGAGCGGTCCAGATGTGTGTCAACCCTTTCACCCAGAGAAGGTACAAACACTAACACTATGAGTTGTTACAGATAGGAGCGGTCCAGATGTGTGTCAACCCTTTCACCCAGAGAAGATACAAACACTAACACTATGAGTTGTTACAGATAGGAGCGGTCCAGATGTGTGTCAACCCTTTCACCCAGAGAAGGTACAAAAACTAGCACTATGAGTTGTTACAGATAGGAGCGGTCCAGATGTGTGTCAACCCTTTCACCCAGAGAAGGTACAAACACTAACACTATGAGTTGTTACAGATAGGAGCGGTCCAGATGTGTGTCAACCCTTTCACCCAGAGAAGGTACAAACACTAACACTATGAGTTGTTACAGATAGGAGCGGTCCAGATGTGTGTCAACCCTTTCACCCAGAGAAGATACAAAAACTAGCACTATGAGCTGTTACAGATAGGAGCGGTCCAGATGTGTGTCAACCCTTTCACCCAGAGAAGATACAAAAACTAGCACTATGAGCTGTTACAGATAGGAGCGGTCCAGATGTGTGTCAACCCTTTCACCCAGAGAAGGTACAAAAACTAGCACTATGAGCTGTTACAGATAGGAGCGGTCCAGATGTGTCAACCCTTTCACCCAGAGAAGGTACAAAAACTAGCACTATGAGCTGTTACAGATAGGAGCGGTCCAGATGTGTGTCAACCCTTTCACCCAGAGAAGATACAAAAACTAGCACTATGAGTTGTTACAGATGGGAGCGGTCCAGATGTGTGTCAACCCTTTCACCCAGAGAAGATACAAAAACTAGCACTATGAGTTGTTACAGATGGGAGCGGTCCAGATGTGTGTCAACCCTTTCACCCAGAGAAGGTACAAACACTAACACTATGAGTTGTTACAGATAGGAGCGGTCCAGATGTGTGTCAACCCTTTCACCCAGAGAAGGTACAAACACTAACACTATGAGCTGTTACAGATAGGAGCGGTCCAGATGTGTCAACCCAGGCTCCAAGGAGTGTACTCCACTGAAATATTCACCCTGTTCATGTTCACTGATTACTCCCTTCATAGATCTTTATATATTCTCATGAAAAAAGTCTACATTAAAAAATCTGTAACAAATTTATTAGTGACCTCTGTTGACAACATTTCTTAAAGGAGTTTTTAATGGAATTTCAAGGGAGTCATGGCTCAAATTATTAGTATTACCAGAGTTAAGGGTTAACACTGATGTTTGGTATGAGCAACACAATGGTCCTAACAACAGGACTGACCTCAATGGCTGCGATGTTATCCCTGAGAGCAAGCAGCATGATTGGTCCAATCATCTTGGAGATGCTCATAAGGAATTTCTTTCTTTTGCAACAACATTTCATTAAAGTGTTCAACTGAGGACAAAAATATTTGCATTCATGTTAGTCCACGGTGTAGAAAATGAGGTGAGAAAACTGTGGATGATAAGAGGTAGAGAAGAAGGGGGGGGGGTGGGAAATGGAGGGTGAGAGGCAGATGGAGAAGAAGGACAAATGCAGGTTGAGAGGTAGGTGGAGAAGGAAAAAATGGAGGGTGAGAGGTTAACAGAGAAGGAACAAATGGAAGGTGAGAGGTAGATAGAGAAGGAAAATATGGAGGGTGAGAGGTTAACAGAGAAGGAACAAATGGAGAGTGAGAGGTAGATAGAGAAGGAAAAAATGGAGGGTGAGAGGTTGACAGAGAAGGAAAATATGGAGGGTGAGAGGTTGACAGAGAAGGAAAATATGGTGGGTGAGAGGTTGACAGAGAAGGAAAATATGGAGGGTGAGAGGTTGACAGAGAAGGAAAAATGGAGGGTGAGAGGTAGATAGAGAAGGAAAATATGGAGGGGAGAGGTTGACAGAGAAGGACGAAATGGAGGGTGAGAGGTAGAGAAGGAAAATATGGAAGTTGAGAGGTAGAGAAGGAAAATATGGAAGGTGAGAGGTTGACAGAAGGAAAATATGGAGGGTGAGAGGTTAACAGAGAAGGAAAATATATGAGGGTGCCCAGAGCCCACAGACACTCCTCTTTGCATCATTCTCTCCAGGTAGAGGTTTTTAAATATCTTCTACTTTACTCTAACGAGATAACATCATAGAAAACAAGTGTTCAAACTAAGCTAACACTTCTCTGCATCATTCTCTCCAGGTAGAGGTTTTTAAATATCTTCTACTTTACTCTAGCGAGATAACATCTCAGAAAACAAGTGTTCAAACTAAGCTAACACTTCTCTGCATCATTCTCTCCAGGTAGAGGTTTTTTAATATCTTCTACTTTACTCTAACGAGATAACATCATAGAAAACAAGTGTTCAAACTAAGCTAACACTTCTCTGCAAATAATCTCTTCGTGAGCATTTGCTAACATTACCTAAAATCTCACTTATAAATGACTTTTCTACTACAGAGATGACATTTTGAAAAGTTTTCAAACAAAGCTAAAACTTCTCTGCAAATAATTTCTGTAAGCATTTGCTAACATTACCTAAAATCTCACGTATAAATGACTTTTCTTCTATTGAGATGACATTTTGAAAAGTGTTCAAACAAAGCTAAAAGTGCAAATAATTTCTGTGAACCTTCGCTAACATTACCTAAAATCTCACTTTTAAATACCTTACTACTACTGAGATGACATTGAAAAACACACACACACACAAAAGTGTTCAAACTCTCACCATGACCCCCCAGAGCTGGCCCTCGTCATCGCAGGCTATGCCGCCAGGACAGTACAGATGGAACCAGCCTTCCTTGCCTTCTCTGATGCCTAGCAGAGTTTGGTGGACTCCACAGGTTTCATCACAGGACACGTTGTGGATGGTGACTTTCATGCGGCTGCAAACAGACAAAAAACAGTGCTATACATAATTTATCATCACCATGTAGAAAAATCATAGTAGAATGTCCCTGTCCTCACAACCAACCTGAAATACTCATGACCAATCTCATCTTTCTTGGCCCCATGCACCAGTATACCCAGTGTGAATTAATGTCCTGTGTATAACTTTATGAGCAGATGTTGGTTAACTGGATTAGAATGCTAAGCATTCAAACAGAAGACCTGGGTTTGAATATTCAGTAGGGTTATGGGGTTTTTCTGTGGTGAGGAAAAATATATTCTTATCTGCAGTCCCTGGGACAGTCCTAGCCATGAGGCCCTAAATCTGCAGTTCCTGGGACAGCCCTAAGCCATGCGACCCTAAATCTTCAGGCTCAAAGACCCTCCAGTCTACACCGCAAAAGTGGTAAGCACAGGCAGTATATATAGCAGTCCACCTTAGTGGACCAATCAACCCCTGCCTCTTCAAAGAATCACACCTTCTAAATCAGTGATTGTTGACGTGGCTAAAGTCCTACCACAAATCTTGCCTTCTAAAGCTCTTCTCTCTGAATCAGTGATATGTTGAATTAGGAATCGACATCACAGCATTCAGGACATTCTCATAAGTGCTCTGTCCTTATCTTCAGCAACAAGCACAGAGTTCCAATGCCAATGGTACGAGTAACAGCCTTATTGTATATCCATCTTGCTTTTTCTCTGAGTGTCGAGTATCGACCAAATTCCCTGGTCACTCCCGGCTCAATGTCGAGTGTTGACCAGATCCCCTGGTCACTCCCAGCTGAGTATCGACTGTTGGCTGGATCCCCTGGTCACTCCCAGCTGAGTATCGACTGTTGGCCAGATCCCCTGGTCACTCCCAGCTGAGTGTCAAGTGTTGACCAGATCCCCTGGTCACTCCCAGCTGAGTGTCGAGTGTTGGCCAGATCCCCTGGTCACTCCCAGCTGAGTGTCGAGTGTTGACCAGATCCTGTGGTCACTCCCAGCTGAGTGTCGAGTGTTGGCCAGATCCTGTGGTCACTCCCAGCTGAGTGTCAAGTGTTGACCAGATCCCCTGGTCACTCCCAGCTGAGTGTCGAGTGTTGACCAGATCCTGTGGTCACTCCCAGCTGAGTGTCAAGTGTTGACCAGATCCCCTGGTCACTCCCGGCTGAGTGTCAAGTGTTGGCCAGATCCCCTTGTCCCTCCCAGCTGAGTATCGACTGTTGGCCAGATCCCCTGGTCACTCCCAGCTGAGTGTCGAGTGTTGGCCAGATCCCCTGGTCACTCCCAGCTGAGTGTCAAGTGTTGACCAGATCCTGTGGTCACTCCCAGCTGAGTGTCGAGTGTTGGCCAGATCCCCTGGTCACTCCCAGCTGAGTGTCAAGTGTTGACCAGATCCTGTGGTCACTCCCAGCTGAGTGTCAAGTGTTGACCAGATCCTGTGGTCACTCCCGGCTGAGTGTCGAGTGTTGGCCAGATCCCCTGGTCACTCCCGACTGAGTGTCAAGTGTTGACCAGATCCTGTGGTCACTCCCAGCTGAGTGTCAAGTGTTGACCAGATCCTGTGGTCACTCCCAGCTGAGTGTCGAGTGTTGGCCAGATCCCCTTGTCACTCCCAGCTGAGTGTCGACTGTTGGCCAGATCCCCTGGTCACTCCCAGCTGAGTGTCAAGTGTTGACCAGATCCCCTGGTCACTCCCAGCTGAGTGTCGAGTGTTGGCCAGATCCCCTGGTCACTCCCAGCTGAGTGTCAAGTGTTGACCAGATCCTGTGGTCACTCCCAGCTGAGTGTCGAGTGTTGGCCAGATCCCCTGGTCACTCCCAGCTGAGTGTCAAGTGTTGACCAGATCCTGTGGTCACTCCCAGCTGAATATCGAGTGTTGACTTTTGTAACAAACCCCAACGCACCTCTTCTGCTTCTCAGCAGAGAGCCATCTATACAGGTATAATCACATCACCTGGACTGGAATGATCATGAACCAGTTGTTCAATGTCTGATTCTGTAATGACTGCTGGTCAATCCATGCACTCCTGACCAAGAGTGATTAGAAGCCTACACAAATCTGTTCATTTACTCTGATACTATGACCCAATCCTGAAGCTGGCTATCTCAACTTCTTGTTTCATTTGATATCTTTTCCCAGAAATAAAGTCAGACAAAAACAAAACAAAAACAATGCAGAAGTGAGCTAGAGAGTGAAGGCAAGAAGATGGGGAGGACAAGGGCTCCATGGGACAGACAAGGATAGGACAACCTGGCATGCACTGGTTGTAACCTTTAGCTCCATTAGTGAATAAACAACAACAGAAAAATATGTTTTGTGTTTTTCTCAGCAGACACATGACAGAGCGGATGCCAGAATGAGTGGATGCCAGAGTGAAGGATGTCAGTGTAAGCAGATGCCAAAGTAAGCGGATGCCAGAGTGAGCAGATGCCAGAGTGAGCAGATGCCAGAGTGAGCAGATGCCAGAGTGAGCAGATGCCAGAGTGAGCAGATGCCAGAGTGAGCAAATGCCAGAGTGAGCAAATGCCAGAGTGAGCAAATGCCAGAGTGAGCAGATGCCAGAGTGAGCAGATGCCAGAGTGAGCAGATGCCAGAGTGAGCAAATGCCAGAGTGAGCAGATGCCAGAGTGAGCAGATGCCAGAGTGAGCAAATGCCAGAGTGAGCAAATGCCAGAGTGAGCAGATACCAGAGTGAGCAAATGCCAGAGTGAGCAGATGCTGGCTGTTCCCACAGTGCAGTGATTATGTCGACATTTCTTGTGTTCCTGCTGTAGTCATGTATGCTACTGACTAGAGTCATGTTAAATAACATCTCTGACCCACACTGACACATCAGTCTCCATATCAGCACCTGCTACTGACTAGAGTTCTGTTAAATAACACCTCAGACCCACACTGACACATCAGTCTCCATATCAACACCTGCTACTGACTAGAGTCATGTTAAATAACATCTCTGACCCACACTGACACATTAGTCTCCATATCAGCACCTGCTACTGACTAGAGTCATGTTAAATAACACCTCAGACCCACACTGACACATCAGTCTCCATATCAGCACCTGCTACTGACTAGAGTCATGTTAAATAACATCTCTGACCCACACTGACACATCAGTCTCTGTATCAGCACCTGCTACTGACTAGAGTCATGTTAAATAACATCTCTGACCCACACTGATAACAACAAAATAAAGTAAAAAAAACAGGATTTATCCCTGGCGGTCAAATTTTGTGTGTGTGTGTGTGGGGGGGGGGGGGGGGGGGGGTAAGACTAAACCTAATGCACCACCTAACAAACATAGGAGTTGGCTGCAATCATATATGCTAGGCCAAATGTCCCAGACATCGCTGCTTAGCTGTAAACCCTGACACAACAAGCCAACCATCAATTTAACAGTGAATGCAGAAGAAGAAGAAAAGAGGAATAAATGAGAATTCTTCTTCTTTCTTTCTAGTGAGAAGCAGAAAGCTGAAGCCATGATCATTTAAAACAAAAACTGAAAGAGAAATGTGAGTATATTCAGGGACAGACTGATGTCATCTGCATGCTGGAAACAGACAACTCACACAAGAACAGATGTTGCAACCTGACAAGCAGACCTACAATGCCACTGTGTGATTGTGTCATGACATTATTGATCCATCTCTTGGGTGTGGCCCCTGAATCCCAGGTCAGACTGTATCATATGTACCACATCATCTCCAGAAATATATCACCACACACAACAGTTCTCACTCTCTCAGTCCATCTCACCACACACAACAGTTCTCACTCTCTCAGTCCATCTCACCACACACAACAGTTCTCACTCTCTCAGTCCATCTCACCACACACAACAGTTCTCACTTTCTCAGTCCAAACTTCAGCTTACATAGCCACTCTTTCTATTAACTCAGTGTAGCTATTTGGCAACAAACTTCAGCTTACATAGCCACTCTTTCTATTACCTCAGTGTAGCTGTCTGGCAACAAACTTCAGCTTACATAGCCTCACTTTCTATTACCTCAGTGTAGCTGTCTGGCAACAAACTTCAGCTTACATAGCCACTCTTTCTATTACCTCAGTGTAGCTGTTCGGCAACAAACTTCAGCTTACATAGCCTCACTTTCTATGACCTCAGTGTAGCTGTCTGGCAACAAACTTCAGCTTACATAGCCACTCTTTCTATTACCTCAGTGTAGCTGTTTGGCAACTTCAGCTTACATAGCCACTCTTTCTATTACCTCAGTGTAGCTGTCTGGCAACAAACTTCAGCTTACATAGCCACTCTTTCTATTACCTCAGTGTAGCTGTCTGGCAACAAACTTCAGCTTACATAGCCTCACTTTCTATTACCTCAGTGTAGCTGTTTGGCAACAAACTTCAGCTTACATAGCCACTCTTTCTATTACCTCAGTGGAGCTGTTTGGCAACTTCAGCCTACAAAGCCACTCTTTCTATTACCTCAGTGTAGCTGTCTGGCAACAAACTTCAGCTTACATAGCCACACTTTCTCCTGTAGCTGTCTGGCAACAAACTTCAGCTTACATAGCCACACTTTCTATTACCTCAGTGTAGCTGTCTGGCAACAGACTTCAGCTTACATAGCCACTCTTTCTATTACCTCAGTGTAGCTGTTTGGCAACTTCAGCTTACATAGCCTCACTTTCTATTACCTCAGTGTAGCTGTCTGTCAACAAACTTCAGCTTACATAGTTACTCTTTCTAATACCTCAGTGTAGCTGTCTGGCAACAAACTTCAGCTTACATAGCCACACTTTCTATTACCTCAGTGTAGCTGTTTGGCAACAAACTTCAGCTTATATAGCCTCACTTTTCATTACCTCAGTGTAGCTGTTTGGTAACAAACTTCAGCTTACATAGCTACTCTTTCTATTACCTCAGTGTAACTGTCTGGCAACAAACTTCAGCTTACATAGCCACAATTTCTATTACCTCAGTGTAGCTGTTTGGCAACAAACTTCAGCTTACATAGCCACACTTTCTATTACCTTAGTGTAGCCG